AACCCGTAGTAGCAATACACATAAAATCATAAATTCAAGTTGTGCCTCGCAATTCACACTTTAGGCACGTGAAACGGGACATTGACAGAGGAGGGTTCTGGGCCGGCAAAGAGGACATGCTGAACTCTAGCCAGATTCATCCACCTTTGCTCGACGCGAGCCCGGTACGGGTTGGGTTGAGTTGACTCGGCAATGGGTCGTCAAGAACTGGTCCGGCCGACCCGACCAGGGCTCATCAGGGTCGAAGTTCGGCTGTGACATGTGGGCAGGTTGGTTGGGTTGACCCGACCCAAATTCAGGTTGTCCAACCGACCCACCATGTTGACTCACGTCACCATCCGTCTGCGCGGATCGGCCTTTTCGACCATCGATTTGGGCGGATTGGCGCGTTTCGATACGACCGCAGCTATGCGCTGATCAGCAATTTCTGATTGCTGATCCACCAGGATCGGTGCTTTTTGCTCGCCGATTCGGACAATCGGCATCCTTTTCCCGCCGAACAATCCGGTCCGACGTTCCCCATTGGCACGACTCAGCCCGACCTGAGCGGAATAACCCGCCCGAACGGACACGGCTGGTTCGGGGCCGCCGCGTCTCTCGCAACTGACCTGACCTGACCCGGACCTGACCTGGGCCGACCCGTTGCTCATCTCATGCCTAACGAACTCACCATTTTCAAGCATGCGCAGTAATTCTCGCGCCCTCCATTCCAGATGAACCACACCGGCCCACGCAATGCCGATGCTGTTTCGGATCTCTTGCAAAGATGCACGGGCTGGTGGAGGATGGCGGAAGATGGGAACGACAAACACTGCAAGGAAGCCAGGAGGGGGGGATGGGTGTACTGAACGGTTGGACAAATGGTCCCTTCCCTTCTTTTGTAAGCGTTTCCCAACGGTTAGTACAGATTGCCGCATTGAAAGCCTGGCACTTAGATCCTACCAGATGCGGTAACCGGCAGAATGCATGGTCAGTTTGATAGAAAACAATGGCATTCTAGCCATGGTGGAAAGCGCATGATGGAAAGGCCATGGCACCCTTGCATTGTACTCTCGATGAGGCAGAATGCATGGTCAGTTTGAACCGTGACTACTTTTAACCTTGCATTGTTGTACTCTCGATGAGGCAGAATGCATGGTCAGTTTGAACCGTGACTATTTTTAACCTTGCATTGTACTCTCGATGAGGCAGAATGCATGGTCAGTTTGAACCGCGACTATTTTTAACCTTGCATTGTTGTACTCTCGATGAGGCAGAATGCATGGTCAGTTTGAACCAAGGTGCAAAAAAACGACGTTTTTTTCAATTTTTGATCGTAAAATACCGTATTGTAAGAAACGATCGTAAAAAACGATAAAAAACGGTTTTTGAAAATAAATACTTTTGGTGCAAAAAAACCTTCGTTTTTTTCAGTAAAAAGACCAAAACTGCTGCTGAAACAAGGGGATTGACTGGTGAGAAGAACAAGGGGGCCGTTAGAAGTGCTGATGATGCAGCGGAAGATTGTTAGAAGTGCTTTTGTGATCAGAACAGCATCTTTGAAGTTGAAGAGTTTTTTTGTCTAACAAAAAAACGACGTTTTTTTTCCCAAAAGATACCGTAAAAAACCATCGAAAAAAACAATCGTATTTTTCGACAATCGTTTTTTTCTACCTTGGTTTGAACCGTGACTATTTTTAACCTTGCATTGTACTCTCGATGAGGCAGAATGCATGGTCAGTTTGAACCGTGACTATTTTTAACCTTGCATTGTACTCTCGATGAGGCAGAATGCATGGTCAGTTTGAACCACGACTATTTTTAACCTTGCATTGTAGTCCCGATATCGAATGGAGTCTTCACCATGGCCAGTCAACCACGAACGGGAAAGGGATGAACACTAGAGCACACAAGATGCATGGTATTCTTCTGTTGCAGCAAACCACGCTTTCGCAAACACAAGATCAAGAGGGGATGACACTTGAAACACCAATAGAGGTAGGGCACAGAGGAAGGAAACAGGAGCACATGCACCAATTGCCACGTATCCGGGCCCAGCGGAGGCGGGCGCGCCGGCAATGGTCTGCGCTTTTTGAGGCGCCTCAAAAGACGGAGGGAACAGGAGCACACGCACCAATTGCCACGTATCCGGGCCCAGCGGAGACTGGCGCGCCGGCAATGGTCTGCCCTCGCAGCAGGTTGGTGCGGAGATCCCGAGGGACGAGAGGTAAGAAGTCGGTGTAGGACTGGATGGGAAAGGTGGGGTTGATGCTGCCATACGCGTTCACTCCGTATATATCCTTCCTTGGGGCGGGCAGACCCAGCACTGACTGGATTGGCTGCCCTATGATGCTCTCCAGAAGGGGCCTGGAGTGCAGGGTGGGGAGGGGATGAGAGGATGAGTGCAATGAGCCCACTGCTACAACCACGGTGAGGCACTGACTGGATTGGCTGCCCTATGATGCTCTCCAGAAGGGGCCTGCAAGGAGGGGAGGGGAGAAGCAATGCAATGCTATGAGCCCACTGCCACTGCCCACTGAATAGGAGGCTGTGAATATTTCCTGTGTTGATGGGTGACAAACATGATCACGGTGAGTCAGCAAAGCATAAAGCCAGACCGGACCTGCCTCGGTCGGTGACGACCATAATGATGGTGTTTGTGTTGTAGTTGCCTATTGCATCTTACCTGACCCTGACCTGCCGCCTGCTAGGCTTCCCAGGTGCGAGTAATTTTTGAGAATTCTAAAAAATCACTTGCTAGGCTTCCCAGGTGCCTCAGAAGCCAGCCAAACTTGACTGATCTGTCTCAGTCGCTGATGACCATAATGATGGTATGCCCGTGCTGTAGTTTCCCCTTGCATAAGCTTGCCAGACTCTAGGGTTTAAAACGGTGCCTCAGAAGCCAGCCACTGGCTGCCTGGCAGACCTGACTGACCTGTCTGGGTCGCTGACGACCATAATGATAGTGCCTGTGCTGTAGTTGCATATTTTATCCGCCTGCCTGTAGGTGCCCCGGAGCCAGCCAGACCTGACCTGACTGACCTGTCTCTGTCAGTGACGACCATAATTATGGCGCCTGTGCTGTAGTTGGCGAGTGTGTCCGCCTGGTTGTTATAGTCCAGCATGCTCGCGTTATTCACGCACCCCGCCAGCCCCCAGTAGCTCAGGTTGCTGCTGCTGCGCGGCCCAAAGTGCCCCAGGGCGTGTATCAGGCCGATCGACTCCTGTGGAATGAGCCAGGGCGGGAGATAGGGAGGAGGGGGTGAAACGAGCCGTTGCGGGGATGTTGCTGCTGCTGCGCGGCCCAAAGTGCCCCAGGGCGTGTATCGGGCCGATTGACTCCTGTGGAATGAGGTGGGGGATGGGAAGGTTGTGTGGGGGGATATTGCTGCTGCTGCGCGTGCCCCAGGAAGCTTATCAGACCGATTGACTCCTGTGGAATGAGGTGGGGGATGGGAAGGTTGTGTGGGGGGATATTGCTGCTGCTGCGGGTGCCCCAGGAAGCTTATCAGACCGATTGACTCCTGTGGAATGAGGTGGGGGATGGGAAGGTTGTGTGGGGGGATATTGCTGCTGCTGTGCTGCCTAAGGTGCCCAGGAAGCTTATCAGGCTGATTTACTCCTGCAGCGAGAGATGGGAGGCGGGAGATGCAGGGAGTGGGAGGGTAGGGGAGAAGAGATAACAAGCGGAGAAGGGAGGGATGGAGGGACTGAGGAAAGTGGGTATGGGGGAAGAAATGGGATTGGCAGGTGTTACGCTTTTCTGAGACTCTCGTTGGCCTCTGGCGTCTTGGCTGTACTGCAGTGTAACAACGCCGTGGGTGGCGAGGGGGCGTTATAGGCAGGCAGTGAAGGGAACGTCCCCGCCCCGCCGCATTGAGTTGAGTTTTGAGGCGCCTCAAAACTCAACTCGGTGCAGGAAACGTCCCCCCCGTCAAGTCAAGGTGTTGTCGTGGAGAGGTGAGAAGAGGGTGCGAGCAGAAGGGGCGAGAAGGGGCGATCCGACTGCTCGGATTTGGGCGCGTGAATCGCGTGTGCTGGTGCTGGGATGACTTTTGAGACGCCTTAAAAATGAGGGGCGAGACGTCTCAAAAGAGAGGCGAGAAGGGGCGATCCGACTGCTCGAGTTTGGGCAAGTGAAATGCGTGTGCGGGTGCTGGGATGATACTAGGACGAGAGCGGGTGCCGTTGCGAGTGGGCGTCCTCGGGTTTCAAATAGGGACCTTGCCCCCTGCGCGCTACAATGCGGTTCGTTTAAGGTTCCCAGGGCAGCCGTGGTGAAAGAGGTAGTTGCGAGGGAGCTGGACTGGCAACTTCTTCTGGCAGGCCACCGGCGGAGTTGGACTGGCAACTTCTTCTGGCAGGCCACCGGCGGAGTTGGACTGGCAACTTCTTCTGGCAGGCCACCGGCGGAGTTGGACTGGCAACTTCTTCTGGCAGGCCACCGGCGGAGTTGGACTGGCAACTTCTTCTGGCAGGCCACCGGCTCACCCGCGGACACGGCTCGTGCGAGTCGGACGTGCGCGAACCGTGCTGAGTTCGTGGTTACATGGGCCCCCGATCTGTCGGTGATCCCGTAGGTCACATCGTGGGCATGTGTTGACTTCGTATGTTACCTGGACGAGCACCTGCATGTAACACACTGGCAGGTTACCTCAAGGGAAGTTTGGGGTTAGCTCGAGGTAACAACAGGGGCCCCCAATTTTTGAGACGTTTTGAGTCGACTCAAAAGTCGGATCGTTTAAGGTTCCCAGGGCAGCCGTGGAAGAGGTACTTGCGAGATAGTTTGGGCTAGCAAATTTTGAAAGTCCCACGGGTCACTGGTCATGAAGAAGAGCTGCAGCGTGAGGAATTGTACTTGCGAGAGAGTTTGGGCTAGCAATTTTTTCTGCCAGGCCACCGGTTCACCCGCGCGCGCGCGCGGGGGCGATGCGGTCGCGATGAGGGGGACATGATCCCGTCGGCCTTTGTCGCGTGGTTGCGCTATTCGGCGTACCTGCGCGCGGGAGATGGACGATCGGATGTCCTGCTGGAGGTATCGCACGCGCGTGCGACACCACGCTCGCATCGCCTCCTGCCGCGGATTGGCGGCCTGCGAGTGCGCGAACCACACCACCCACGCGCACAGCCCCGCCCATCCCGCCACCCACGCCGCCCCCAGCAGCGCCCTCGCCACGCCCGGCGGCACGCGGGCCGGCAAGAAACGCGCCAGCGACGACCGCATGCGCGAGGCGACAGCAGGCGACTTTGAGCGACAGGAATGCGACAGCGTAACGTTTGTGGAGCGACAGGAGTACGGGTCCGTCACACCTGAGGACAGGAAAGGGGCCGGGATCATACGGGGCTCGCAGGCAGGCGGGCAACAGTTGGGAGGAGGGCTGGGCTGCTGTGCTGGGGTGCCTGCGAAGCAAATCTATTCGGTCTGTCTGAAGGTGAGTGGCGGCACAGAGAAAAGGAGGTTGTGCGAACGAACTTGCCCAAGCCATGTAGGTTCGTTTTGGACACAGGTTGTCAGTTCGGTAGCGTGCCAGCCAGATGACAAAAGTGTTGCTGACGTTCGCGCCAACGATGAACAGATTGTGCGACGATTTGGTTGCGACCTCATATTTGGATAACGGGCAGAACCTCTGCCATTAGAAATGTCTGGTTCGGGTTTGAGTTTTTGGCGTACGCGTTGTGGGACTGTTATTGTGCCTCTCTGACACATAAACAGAAGTGTACTCAATATACAAAAGCATACTCGTATATCAGTGCAGCAGCTCCCAGAACTTCCGCTGTTACAATCTGACCTACCGGTCGCTATGATCCTAAGGGCTTCTTTCACCCAACAACCACTCAGAATAACACACATGGCGGCACATCAGCAGCACATATTCTCTTACTCAAGGACTGTCATACTGGACGATGTTTCTATGAGCTATGAGCTGACAGCAGCAATAGAATTGCTATGAGCTGACAGCAGCAGTGCAGAGCAGACTAACGAGCTAAGAGCTGACAGCAGCAGCTTGCCTCCACCCCTCCAGCTCCCTCGCTGCCACCTCTGCTGCGACACATGCAAGCAAGCTGCTGCAGAGGTGGCAGCTGGTGCTGCCAACCACACCCACACTGACAGCAGTAACAACTCGTTACGAGCTGACAGCAGCAGCGTGCCTCCTGCCCTCCAGCTCCCGTGCGGCTGCCTCTACCTCAGCTTCCATGGCCTCTGCTTCTCTCACCGCCACCTCTGCCCCTGCCACAGCTGCCACTGCTGCCATCCGTGTCAGCTTCTGCACCCACCGCTTTTCCCTGCAGCTTCCTCTACCGCTTCCGAATTGCTACGAGCTGACGGCAACAGCGTGCCTCCTGCCCTACAGCTCCCTAGCTGCCGCCTCTGCTGCCTCTGCTTCAGCCTCCATGGCCTCCGCCTCTCTCACTGCCGCCTCCACCTCTGCCACTGCTGCCTCTGCCTCTGCCTCTGCTGCCATTCGTGCCAGGTGCTGCATCCACCGCTTCCCCTGCCACTTCCCCTGCTGCTTCCCCTGCTGCTTCCCCTGCTGCTTCCCCTGCTGCTTCCCCTGCTGCTTCCCCTGCTGCTTTCCCCTACCACTTTCAGTTTTTTACGAGCTGACAGCAGCAGCGTGCCTCCTGCCTTCCAGATCCCGTGCTGCTGCCTCTGCTTCGGCCTCCATGGCCTCCGCTTCTCTCATAGCCACCTCTGCCTCTCCTACAGCTGCCTCTGCCTCTCCCATCGCCTCTGCTGCCTTCCGTGCCAGATGCTGCACGCACCACTTTCCCTGCCCCTTCCCCTGCGGCTTCCCCTGCCGCTTCCCCTACCGCATCTCCTACCTCATTTGAACTTCTATGAGCTGACGGCAGCAGCTTGCCTCCTGCCCTCAAGCTCTCTCGCTGCCGCCTCTGCTGCCTCTGCCTCAGCTTCCATGGCCTCCGCTTCTCTCATAGCCGCCTCCGCCTCTGCTACAGCTGCCTCTGCCTCTGCCATCGCCTCTGCTGCCTTCCGTGCCAGCTCTTGCACCCACGCACTCTGCGCTGCACCCACCGCCTTCCCCTCCTTTGCTCCTTCTCCCACACGCTCGCCTGCTCTTCCCTTCTCGGTCCGGTCTCGCGCGCCTGGGTCTCTTTCGCTGGCTCCTCCTGCTTCGGCCGACTGCTGAGAGGGAAAACGGAGTTTCTTGAAATGGCCCACCGTAGGAGCATGGGGACCAGCACCACCCGTGCTTGCAGCAGCAGCAGCAACAGAAGCGGCGGCGGCGGCGGCAGCAGAAGCATGAGATGGCGTGTGGGTGGTTTGCAGAGGGGAGAGGTGGGCCTGCGACAGGTCTGCTGCTATTCGATCCACTGGAGCAGCGGCAGCAGCAGCAGTGGGGGCAGAGGGGGAAGAGGAGTGAAGAGCAGCTGTGGAGCGCATGCCTAGATGATGCTCCACCCCTGCTACTGCTGCTGTTGCTGCTGCAGCAGCCCCACCCGCCCTTCCCTCTGCTGCTGTCCCACTGGCTCTACCCTCGCCTACCCTCTCTGCAGCACTCCCACTGCCCACCCTGCCACTCCGACCATCCCTCCTCCTCACACTCCCCCGGCTCCCCCACTCCACCCTCCCCTCCTCACTCTCCCACTTGCCACTTCCCCCCCACCCCCATCTACCCGCACCCTCCCCATCCAGCCCCTCCCCATGCCAACTCGCCCGCCTGCCTTCCCCCCGTGCCCTCCGGACAGATGCAGGCGAATGCACCTGCACCTGCCCTTGCGCTTGCGCTTGCCCTGCCACGTGGCCTTGCCCTGGCCCTTGGTCATGGTTGTGGGTGAGCGAGTGAGGGTGTGAGTGGGCGTGCGAATGGGAGTGAGAGAGGAGAGCCAGCGGTGCGTTTCGAGGCAGGTAGTAGAGCTGTTTCACCTGCCAGTGGGGGGGGGGGGGGGGGGGGGGGGGGGGGGGGTTGGCGCAATGAGCAAGTGAGTATGCGAGGCAAGCAGAGAATTTGCTTCCGTTGCCAATGGGTGGCAGTGAGAGAGCAGGGACAGAGGTGTGCTGCGAGGCAGGTAGTAGAGCTGCTTCACCTGCCAGTGGGTGGGGGGCACAGGGAAGGTGGACGGACATTACGAGCATGTGAGCATGGGAGGCATGTGGTTGAGGTGCCTCGCGTGCCAATGAGTGGGAGTGAGAGAGCAGGGACAGAGGTGCGCTGCGAGGCTAGTGGGTTGGGAGAAAAGCAGGGGGTGGCACTAGGTGAGTATGCAAGGAACGCAGAGGTGTTTCAGTGGCCAATTGGTGCGTCTTAGAAATCGAAGAGGGGGGAGTGGGAGGGGATAGAGGTTTGATGGCATGATGGGATGATGGGATGATGGCACGATGAGATGATGAAATGATGGGATGATGGCATGATGGGATGATGGCATGACGGCATGATGGGATAATGACATGATGGGATTATGGCATGAGGGCATGATGGGGTGATGGCACGATGGCATAGTGGTATGGCACCCCTGCTCTCACCTTCACGAGGCAACCCTCCTCTGAGAGCGCTGTATGAATCCACAGATTGCCAAGAATTGAACCATGGCACCTACATGGTGTTCTATCACCCCTGCTCTCACCTTCACCAGGCAACCCTCCTCTGAGAGTGCTCTAAGGCGATGCGGCACCAGGCGGCGCAGATTGGGCGATGATGCATGGTGGTCCTGTGGGGTGATGGGGAAGAGGAGGGGTGGGAAAGAGGGGGGGGGGGGGGGGGGGGGGGGGGGGGGGGGGTTGATGTAGCGGGGGTGGCAGGGACAATGAGTGGGAAGCGGGACTGATGTACTGCCAGTAAATTTCATGAGATGCAGCACGAGGCAGCGCAGATTGGGTGGTGATGCACGGTGGTCCTGAAAGGGGGCGGGTTGCGGAGGCAAGGGTGGGTCCACAGGGAGAATGAGTGGCAAGGCACAGGGCAGTGTTACAGGGGTTCATGCTTGGTGATCCTAGGCGGGGATTGGGGGGAGACGGAGGGGGGGAGAGTAGGGGGGAATAGGGCAAGGAATGTGATGCGCTGAGCGGCGTGGTGCGGTGCGATGCGGTGCCATGCGGTGTGATGATGGAATGGAATATCATAAAATTGTGATGTGATATGCAGCGATGCAGTGCGGTGTGATGTGTTGCAGAGACATGGGATGAGGTTTGATGTGCTGTGCTTTGTTGTGCTGTGCTGTGCTGTGCTGGGATGTGCGGTGCTGTGATGTGCGGTGCTGAGATGTGTGGTGATGTGATGTGCGGTGCTGTGATGTGCGGTGCTGTGATGTGCTGTGATGTGCTGTGATGTGCGGTGCTGTGATGTGCTGTGATGTGCGGTGCAGTGGATCGAGTCAGAGCCATCAGATAATTTTCTTAAGCCAGGGCCGCACCTCGATGTGTTTCACAACAGCTGCAGCGGAGCACCCATGTGCTGCCTGTGAGCCTTCCAACGATGCCACAGCCATCATGATCGCCTCATCCAACCTGCCATGTCATGCCGTGCCGTGCGGTGAGGTGCCGTGCCATGCCATGCCGTGCGGTGAGGTGCCGTGTCATGCCATGCCGTGCGGTGAGGTGCCGTGTCATGCCATGCCGTGCAGTGAGGTGCCGTGTCATGCCATGCCGTGCGGTGAGGTGCCATGTCATGCCATGCCGTGACATGCCATGCCATGCCATGCCATCTCGTGCCATGCAAAAGCTTGCCAAAATTTATATGAAAGCAGTGGCAGCAAGAACCAAGAGGCAAGAACCAGCAAATCCCGTGACTTCGAATCCCACATATATGCATTGCTAACAGACTCCGTACTGCTGCCGCACAGTGTCTCCTTGTCCTCGTTCAACGTTTCGGCAGCAAGAGGCAAGCACCAGCAACGGCCTTGTTCCATCAAACCATTGCCTCACGCAATCTCGCTACAGCCAGCCAGCCAGCAGCACACATGCATCACCTTGCATTGAAGGTAACAGAGCAGCACCACACCAGAAAGCAGCACGAGGCAAGCACCAGCAACGGCCGTGTTCCATCAAACCATTGCCTCACGCAATTTCTCTACAGCCAGCAGCACCAGCACAAATGCATTACCTTGCATTGCTCGTCACAGGAACGCCCATGCCAGCAGCAGCGGAGGGTACAACGGTCCACGTCCCCTCCTCCCCCGTCCCCCCACGACTGCCAGTGCGCCCACTGCTCGCACTGCCCCCCCCCACACCCTCTCCGCCCCTTTCACCATCCGTCCCCCCCCCAGCCCCGCCCATAGACCCGCTCTCCCCTGCCCCTACCCCCGCCTCGCCCCCCCCACCAGCAAAATCCGCATCACCAGCACCACTACCGTCATCAGCACCCTCAGCCACATCAGCGTCACTGCCAGCAGCAGCGGCGGCCAATAGGGCGTCTTCCTCCTCCTCCATCGCCACGACTGCTGCCAGCTCAGCGCGTGCCGCCGCAGCTGCCGCCCGCTGCTCCCTGGGGGCGCGCACCCTTGGCACGGGCACCACTGCACTGGCACTGCTGCCGGCCCCACCAGTGGCTGCTGCTGTCATGTTGCGCCACTTGTCCTGTAGAGGGGGGGAGTTAAGGGAAGGGTGGGGCAATTGTTGCTCCCTGGGGGCGCGCACGCGTGGCATGGGCACCACTGCACTGGCACTGCCACCACTGCCGCCAGTGGCTGCTGCTGTCATGTTGCGCCACTTGTCCTGTTGGTGTTAGGGGGGAGGGGGGGAGTTGGGGTACCTGTTGCTCCCGGGGGGTCCTCACCCGCGGCAAAGGCACCACTGCACTGGTGCTACTGCTGCCACTGCCGCCAGTGGCTGCTGCTGTCATGTTGCGCCACTTGTCCTGCAGGGGTGGGGGAGGGGTGGAAGGGGAGGGAAGTGGGAGGGGGGTTGGTTGGAGCAGTGAAATAAAGAGGAGAGGGGAGAGGGGAGTAGAAACATGGGGGGTGGGGAAGAAGAAATGGAAAGATTTTATAGATGTGCCACACCACGCCACCGTAAGGTGCAGAACACGCGCACCCGCACTGCACAGCAGCACTCGGGGCGAGACGAGCGCACCTGCACAGCAGCACTTGGGGCACACCCCAGCAGCACACGCACCTTGAGGTCAACATTAGATCGGTGAGTAAGGAGGGGCCCGAGAGCAGGGTCCTTCTGAATGGCGCGCCACTTGCCCGGGCCGTACTTGTCCACCCCCGCCCTCAGCGCCCCCTCCTCCTCCGCCGTCCACTTCTGCTTCGGCGCTCCCATCGCCTCTCACTGCTCGCTACTCACTGCCTACTGCTATCTACTCGCTGCTCGCTGCTTGCTGCTCCCTACCCGCTACTGCTTCCAGGGCCACCCCCCCACCTTCGCCTGCTCGCAACCTGCTCCCCAAGCAGCCCCCCCACCACGCCGTCCCTCCTAGATAGGAGGTGTGGTGTGGGCGGAGGCGTGGCGTGGCGCACTGGGCGCAGTGTGGAGGGAGAGGGCGGGGTGCGTTGGCGGGGTGGCGGAGAGAAGCAAGTAATGAGAGTTGGATGGGGCTTTGGTTGGGGATGGGAGTTCCAGATATCAGCAAAGGATGTAGCAGCATGTGCGGATGTAGCACGTGCGGATGTAGCACGTGCGGATGTAGGACGTGCCGATGGTGTGTGGTGTGGTGCACAGCTCCATGGTACCCCAAGCGCTCGCCCCCCCCAATTACGCGCGCGCCTCTCTCTACTGCGCGCTCGCCTCCCCAGAAACGCGCCGCGGTCAGGCGGCGCGTTACGCCGTGGCGGGCCAGGCGAAGGCGGGGGAGGGGAGTGACGCGAGGGGCGGCAGCAGGAACGGGAAGCAGCGCGAGGGGCGAGGTCAGACGATGGTGGCATGTGCAAAGGAGCGCTGGTGAGAGCTGGGGAAGAGCGCACCTGAGTGTGTGGGGGGAGCTGGGGAAGAGCGCACCTGACCTGAGTGTGTGGGGGGAGCTGGGGAAGAGCGCACCTGAGTGTGTGGGGGGAGCTGGGGAAGAGCGCACCTGACCTGAGTGTGTGGGGGGAGCTGGGGAAGAGCGCACCTGAGTGTGTGGGGGGGGCTGGGGAAGAGCGCACCTGAGTGTGTGGGGGGAGCTGGGGAAGAGCGCACCTGAGTGTTGCGCCGCTGGTCCCTTGACTCTGCCCGGCGGCGCAGCGGCGGGAAGCGGCGGCGGAATGGACGGAAGGGCGGACCAATCGCAAGCGGCGGGGGAAGCGGCGGAAGGGATTGTCGGAACACGCGAGGCGGCAAAGAACGCGAGCCGACAATACAGGCACCTGCGGTTACGGGGGGGCGTCGGCCGACGACGCGCGGCGCTCGTGACGCACGACGAGCGTGTGGGGGCGCGGTTGTTGCGGAGTGATAGGCGCGGGAGAATCTTGAAATGGCAACGTAAGAACGCCTCCTATCCTAACGTATGGCTCTCTATGTAGGAATTTGATAATTGTTTTGTATCGAATCCAGGCGCATCCAAAAGCGAAGCAACAAAAATGCATAGGGTTGTGCTGTCTGTAGGCTCCACTTCTGCGGTACATTTCGGTTCCTTTGCTCTCAACGAGTTTCGGCGCGGCCCACGTGTCACCTGAATACGTAGATACGTTTTAAAGATTGTGTGCAACAGTCAACTCACACTCTCGATTGGTTGGGTTGTGGAGCTGGGTGGGGGGGGGGGGGGGGGTCCAGCTCGTACGTTTCTTGTACGTTCTTCGAGATCGAATTCGTGACCTCTTCTAAGTAACGAGCAATATGTACACGCTCTCGGAAAACATTCGAACATGCTCACCACCACGGATCACATGACGAGATCCATCCATCTTGGCGGAACGTTCCAAGCGCAGCACGACCGCGTCGCGCAGCTGAAACGCGTAATGACGTGAGAGGACATTAGACAACTCTCGACATTTGAGCCACCTCAAACTAGGTCAAGTCACGAGAAACCTGACGCGTGTCCCATCGCTATCATCCGACATCGGCTTGTCGCTCGTCGGTCGTCGTTTGGCGCACGTCGCTCGTCGCTCGCAGCTTATCGGGGTAGCCGTGCAGCCGTTTCGTGCGACGCCCGTCGCACGAGTCGGTCGCAATGGCGCTGGACGACGTCGCTCGGCCGCTGGGAGCGGAGCGCGCGGGCGATCAGACGGTGTGGCGCGACGCCGATGCCGCGCTCGCCGCCGCTTGCGCCGGTGAGATCTTGATCGCATTGCGCGCGGGACTTGCGCGGATTAGCTCTGCGCGGAGTACCCCTGCGCGGATTAGCCCGGCGCGGATTAGCCTTGCGCGGGCGAGCCTTGAATTGCTGCCACAGCTCGGCGGAAGGGACGAGGCAGCGCAGCCGGGGGTCCGTCCCGCATCATGGCATGTCACCACGCCTTTTGAGGCGCCTCAGAATTCGTCCCGCATCATGGCCTCCCACCACGCTCACGCTGCTTGCATGGCATTTCCGCATCGCATCTTGGTGTGCTTGCATGGCATTTCCGCATCGCATCTTGGTGGTGTGCTTGCATGGCATTTCCGCATCGCATCCTGGTGTGCTTGCATGGCATTTCCCCATCGCATCTTGGTGTGCTTGCGCAGTCGCACCGCAGTCTCCTTTTTTGAGTCAGCTCAAGAGCCCCCTCCTTCCTTCCCGCTGGCCATTCTTCCCACCCCCCTTCCCCCTCTCGTCACCATCAGAGCTGCAGTCGGCGAGTTACTGCACGGCGAGTCCTTCAGTCTCTTATCTCCCCAATCTCGCCCCCTTTCCCTCCTCTCCTCCTTCCCTCCCTCCCTCCCCTCTCCCGCTACCCCCCTCTCGTCACCATCAGAGCTGCAGTCGGGCGAGTTACTGCACGGCGAATCTTTCAGTCTCTTCGAAGCCATGGCCGCCCTCCAGGTGCACCCCACCGCCCCGCCCCCTCCCTTTGCACACGCCCCCCTGTTAGAAGTGGTTCGCCGCTGCACCGACTCTAGAGCATAAAAACGACAGAACAGGACACTTGGAAATTGCCTTACCTATGGCGGTGGGAGAGAATAGGCTGGAATAACGAGTTCTGATGGTGGGAAGAGTTAGGTGAGAGATCCTGAGGAAGAGCTGGTGAAAACGAGGGTTTGATGAGGAAGAGAAGGGAGAACGTTCTGGACCGCCAGAATTTTCCCAACCTTTCTGGAGGCGATGTTCGATGGAGTTGAAGAAAGTCGGTTTCACCGACGGTTCAGTTTGAATTTCGGTTTTCAATGCCGGTTACTGTTACGAAATTCGGATTCGCGACGAGGCGCGTTACGCGAGGCGCACATTGAAATTCGGATTTCAGATTGCTTAAATATCATGTTCTGTTTTCCTCATTGTATCAATTTTTCATAGTGAAACTTTCTGTTTGCAACCTGGGTTGGAAAGCAACCTGATTTCTCAACTTTCAGATCCAGTTTGGAGCCCGCTACTGCTACTTTCGTGACCTGCTAAGTCACGTACTCACTACGTTTAAGTCTCAGAGCTGGTATCAGAGCTGGTTATAGTGCGTTTCAAGCATTCAAGAAGGGCCAAGACAAGTTCCTGCATCATGCCGAATGGGGATGGTGAGGCAAGCTCGGGTTCTTCAGTCAGTGCTGAAGTTCCCCAAGTCCAAGCCCTCTTGGAGGCCCTTACACAAGGGCACGTGGTGGCCAGGCCAACGATTGGCCTGAGCGAGGCGCAACGGTTCAATGGCAACAACTACAGCACATGGCGACTTAAGTTCATGCGGAGGGCAAGAGAAGTTGATATCTGGCCCCTCTACAAAGCGGACGAGGAGACGGAGGAAGGAGTACCTCCACCTGCAACGGCAACGGCACAAGAAAAGAAGACATACAAGAAGAAAAGTTTGCAAGCTTTCTTCCAACTGTGTCACTCAGTTTCGGACTCCATCGCTGTGGGGCTGGACCAGTTTGCGGACGAAATCAATTCAGCACAACGTGCATGGGCATACATGGAAGCGGTATATCTCGGACGGAGCGACACGAATTTGACTGCAGTGAGAAAGAAACTGCTGCTGCTTGCAATGGAGCCAACGGAGAAGATCATTGACTACGTGAATCGAGCCAAGAGCTACAACGATGATCTCACAGCAATGGGGGCGCCCGAATCAGAGAAGCACATGATGGGATACATCATCAGCGGCCTACCCAAGGAGTGGACAGCAGAGATCGGAATTCTTACCTGCAACACGCCCAAGGATATGACCCAGCTGCTCGAGACCCTCCAAGCGCTGGAGCTGGTCAAATCTGACCTGAAAAGGAGGGAAGCAGTGGCAACGGCAGCAGAGGTCAACAGGCCTGCAAATCTGAATGCAACTGCAACACCAAGGGATTTTGGCAACTGCTACAACTGCGGGAAGAAGGGGCACAAAGCTGCCGACTGTTATTCCAACCCCAATGGAAGGAACTACAAAGGGAAAGGACAGTGGCAACAACACAACGATGCAAGGCGTGGAGAAGGCTACAAGGCAAGCGGAGGTTTCAATGGAAATTGTAACCATTGCAGCAAATATGGGCACAAAGCTTCCGATTGCTACAACAACCGATTTAGCAGAAACTTCGAGGAAAGGAGCTGCAACAACAAAGACCAGCAGCAGCAGCGAAGACAAACCTGGTGGAGGCACCTGCAGCAGTGGAAGAAACGCCAAAGGTGGACGCCATCCTTGGAGGCGCCCACAAAGCCAACGTTGCTCGAGCATCCGAGGTGTGCCTGCTGTCAAAAGGATTCAAGGAGACGGCTTGGTTTATGGACAGCGGGTGCACACAGCACATGACGCACCGCGCTGATTGGCTACGCGACTACCGGGAATCCGGAGTCCCTTACGTCCTACTCGGGGATGAAGGAAAACTTCAAGTGCAAGGAGAAGGGGACCTCATTTTACAGAGCCCCTATGGGGAGCTGAAAATGGACAACGTTCTCCTGGTGGAGAAGCTGTCCCTCAACCTGATAAGTCAAACGCAACTGGACAGCAGTGGTTGCAAGACGTTCAGTGACAACGGAAAGCTGTGGGTGTTCGGTCCCGACTGGCAACTGCTAGCGGAAGGCGCACGGACTCAAGGACTCTACGAGATGAAGCTGAAGGAGCAAGACTCGTGTGAAAACAAGGTCACCTATCAACCTGAACCTGAAGAGGGGAAGAAGGCCCGAGAAGACCTACGTACCATGCTGGAAAATACTGCAGTGACCGAACTGCAGCAGCTGAAGCTTCCCGTAGCAGCAGCGGCGGAAGCGGTTGATATCAATCTCCTGCACAAAAGGATGGGGCATGCGAACACTCAACGGATCAAGGAAATGATGAAGAAAAACATGGCAGCGGGAGTGAAGGTGACTGGAGCTGAGGAAACCCACACGAAGTGCGACTCATGTATCGAAGGGAAAGCTACCAAGGCTCCCCATCCAAGACATGGACCGAAGGAGCCATATGGGGCAATGGAAGTGGTAGCAGCGGATGTATGCGGTCCCATGAGAGTCACATCACGACATAGCAGCAGATACTTTGTCACGTTCACAGACATCGGCACAAGACTCACATGGGTGACGGAACTTATGGATAAAACTCAGGTTTTTTCGAGTTTTGTGGACTGGTTGGCGGAAGCTGAACGGCAAAGCGGCAAGCAGCTGAAAGTACTTCGAACTGACAATGGTTGGGAGTTCATCAAGAAGGAGTTCAACGACTACCTGAAAGCCAAGGGAATACGACGGCAGCGTACTATTCCCCATACCCCTCAACACAACAGTGTTGCGGAACGGGTGAACAGGACACTGCTCAACAGCGTGCGAAGCATGATAGCGGACAGCAAGCTACCTCTAACCTACTGGGGAGACGCGCTGGGTATGGCTTGCTGGCTGAAAAATCGCCTACCGACAAAGGGACTTGTAGCGGACAAGACACCTCACGAAGCATTCTACAAGCGGAAACCTAACCTGAAGTTTCTTCGAGTATGGGGCTGCATGACGCAATACAGGCCCTCTGCTGGAGCTGATCACAAACTCCTGCCAAGAGCACGTTGGGGGGTGCACTTAGAGACATGCCCGGAGAGCAAAGGCTGGATTATTAAAGACGTGGAGACTGGGATCGTTCTGGCGACCAGGGATGTCACATTCTACGAAAACTTCAGCTACGTGGACTGGAAGGCAAGCAACACGGGCACAACTCCAAGGACAGCACCTGCCATACCTCAACGAGCGGAGGAACTGCTTGAAGATGCCCAAAACAAAGGCTTGGGGACAGCGAACAACGAAGGGGAAGAAGATGAAGAAGAACATACCCAAGCTGGAGTGGATTGGGTGTGGGAGCCAACGGAGGATAAGCTCGACAACAGTGATATGGAAGCGGCGCCTGCAACTCCACTTCTGTCAAAATCAGCGAGCGACAAAGATGGAGACATTGGAGAGGATGAAGCTGAACAAGCAGATCAGTCAAGTACCGAGGGAAAAAGCGACCCGTGGGAATTTTTCGAGACGAGCAACAATGACAAAGGAGCTGCAGAGATTGACACCTTGCTGCAGGATGGAGCCATTCTTATTGGGAGAGAGGAAGACGGCACAAGCACGGAGAAAGCAGGGGAGATGGCAGCAGACACGGGTGCAAGTGATGCTTCGGTGAAAGGAGAGGAGCTGGGAAGGGGGAAGCGGACGAAGAAACCAAATCTAAAATACCAACAGGTCCTGATGACATGCTGGAAAGACGTGCACACTCACCTCCTCCTCACCTCAACGGTGACAGCGTTGATTACCAAGGAAAGGAGAGAGACTTACAATCTGCCGCATGAACCCTTGAGCATGGAGGAAGCACTCTGTGGACCATACAAGGAGCAGTGGAAAGCAGCTATACAAGAAGAGTTGGACACTCTTGCGGAAAGAGGCACTTGGAAACTCGTCCAAATGCCCGAAGGGAGGCATGCCGTTGGCGTCAAGTGGATTTTCAAGATAAAAACAGGGGATAAGGGGCAGCTGGAGAGGTTCAAAGCACGGCTGGTGGCAAAAGGTTATACGCAAGTGGAGGGGATCGACTACACGGAGACATATGCACCAGTCAGCAAATTGACTACAGCGCGGACACTCTTCAAGATCGTTGCGGCACGCAACTACATCATGGTTCAACTTGATATCAAGAACGCTTTCCTCTACGGAGAACTTCAAGAGGACATCTACATGGATCAGCCTACAGGAATGGAGGACGGGACTGACAGGAAATGCAAACTGCTGAAAGCGCTCTATGGGCCGAAACAGAGCCCTCGAGAGTGGTACAAGGCTATGGATGCACGCCTACTCGAAGGGGGATTTCAGAAAAGCAAATGCGACAGGGCGTTTTACTGGAAAGGCGAAGGAGAGGCGAAAGTCTACCTCCTACTCTACGTCGATGACATCCTAGTGGCTGGAGCTTTGGATGACAGAGTTGAGGAAGTGTGTACTCACCTTGCAGCCGTTTTTCAAGTGAAGCAGATCCCGAGAGCCACGTTGTTCCTTGGCATGAACTTGGAGCGGGACCGAGAAGGGAAGAAGCTGTTACTCTACCAAAAGAAGTATATTCATCGGTTGCAAGAAAGGTTTGGAACACGGGACTGCACCAAGGCAGTGACCACTCCGCTCAGCAGCCTGTCAGAGAAGGAAGTCAATCCAGAAGAAGAACTCATCCAGTGGGGCAGCAAGGAGCAAGCATTGAAGGCTTACCAGTCACGGGTCGGATCGGTGATGTACCCTGTCTCTTGTACGCGGGTAGACGGTGCACATGCTGCCAGCTTCTTGGGGCAGAACGTACTGCAGCCAGAAGGCCGCAAATGGAAGGAGATGCAGCGCACAATCACCTATCTGCAGCAACGGGGAGAAGAGGGACTACTATACGAAGGCGGAGAAGAAGCAATGGAGTTAATCGGATACGCTGATGCATCCCATGCATCAGACAAGAAGGACAGGAAGGGAGCTTTTGGATACGTCTTTCTCCTAGGCGGGACAGCAATCACATGGCAAGGGAAGAAGCTGAACGACATTGCACTCTCGAGCGCGGAAGCGGAATACATGGCGTTATTCTACGCATGCCAAGAAGGAGTGTGGCTAAGGCGATTGCTGCAAGAAATGGGAGTACGTGTGCAAGGTCCAACAACCATCAGATCTGACAGCAAATCGGCCATAGCATTGGCGAAAAAACGACAACTGGCACGGGCGGACCAAGCACATGGACATTAAATATCATTGGGTGCGTGAACAGCTAGAGAAAAAGGCATTTACCTTTGAGTTCGTACGGACAGAAGATCAAGCAGCCGACTTCCTTACTAAGGTCCTTCCGAAGGCTAATTTCGAGCGCTGCAAGTACCTTGTCGGGATGCGTACCCTGCAGGACTTGCAGGGGAGCAGGGTGGAGGAACACTGATTAAGATTTTCAGATCTAAGGTTGGCAGCAGCAAACCACAGGGGAGATTGTTAGAAGTGGTTCGCCGCTGCACCGACTCTAGAGCATAAAAACGACAGAACAGGACACTTGGAAATTGCCTTACCTATGGCGGTGGGAGAGAATAGGCTGGAATAACGAGTTCTGACGGTGGGAAGAGTTATGTGAGAGATCCTGAGGAAGAGCTGGTGAAAACGAGGGTTTGATGAGGAAGAGAAGGGAGAACGTTCTGGACCGCCAGAATTTTCCCAACCTTTCTGGAGGCGATGTTCGATGGAGTTGAAGAAAGTCGGTTTCACCGACGGTTCAGTTTGAATTTCGGTTTTCAATGCCGGTTACTGTTACGAAATTCGGATTCGCGACGAGGCGCGTTACGCGAGGCGCACATTGAAATTCGGATTTCAGATTGCTTAAATATCATGTTCTGTTTTCCTCATTGTATCAATTTTTCATAGTGAAACTTTCTGTTTGCAACCTGGGTTGGAAAGCAACCTGATTTCTCAACTTTCAGATCCAGTTTGGAGCCCGCTACTGCTACTTTCGTGACCTGCTAAGTCACGTACTCACTACGTTTAAGTCTCAGACCCCCCCTCTGCACGCTCCCGGCACCCACTTCCCCACACTCCGCCTCCCCCACTGCGGCCTCTCCGCCCCACTGTGCGCCCGTTTCCCCTTCTTCCGTCGCCCTCGCGTGTGTGCTGCTCGTCTCTCCCCTCCCTCGCACCATTCCCACTTTGCCCATTCCTCGTGGCCTCTCGCCGCCTGCCTTTCTCTCCCTCATCCATCCTACTTCCTCCTCGCCAGCTCTCCCAATTTGATTTCCTTCTCATCCGCCCTGCCCTTTACTCACTGCTTACCACGCCTAGATATGAGCCCGAACCCAACTCAAACATGTTTGCGCAAACCTTTTCGAACCTTGCATGTTGGTCGAACCGAACCGAACCGAACAGGTTTGCTCGAACCTTTTTCAGACTTTTAAGGTTTGAGATTTGAGTATACAACGGCGAACCCTAAAGGTTTGCTCAAACCTTCCAAGGTTTGAGCGAACTCGAACCTTTTCATGTTTGAGGTTTAAAATGATGCACATGTTATTCTACAACACATGCATGTCTAATGGTTTATGGACAGCATCACTAAACTGTCAAACCTAACAAACAAGTTAAGGTTTGACGCATCCTAAGTTGGAGCTGAGGTGAAAGAACGGTAGTAGGGAGGGAGGCATTGGGTGAGCTAGAGTTGATCTAGATCTCGATATCTACTCTGCTACGAGATTAGGGTTGGCTGCCTCAACTGGCAGCCAGCGTACGACTTTCCCGTTTTTGACGGGAAAGTCGCGAGCGTATTCTTTCTGAAGTTAATTTACTTCGAACCCCTCGCGTTCGAATTTGACCCTTTCGAACCTCGAACCTGTTCGGTTTGAGGTTCGAATCTCGAACCGGAAAAGTTTGCGCGAACTGCTCGCGCGAACTTTTTCGAGGTTTGCTCAAACATTTTTCGCAGAAAAAAAGGTTTGGTTCGAGATAACTCGAACCGAACATCTCGAACCGAACTTAAGTTCGGTTCGATGCTCATATCTAACCACTCCACCCCTCCCAACCCCTCACAACCCTCCCAATCCCTCCGAACCCCTCGCACCCCTCGCATCCCTCCCTGCCCCTCCTGCCCGCCCCTTCCCCCCTTCTCCCCGCCCCATGAGGATGATGCATCCCAAGATGGATGCCGATGCGGGCATGACTGTGCTGTGAAACCCCGTCCCTCCTGCACGCTTTCCCCCCTTCCAGATGGTGCATTTCCCCCCTTCCAGATGGTGCATTTCCCCCCTTCCAGATGGTGCATTTCCCCCCTTCCAGATGGTGCATTTCCCCCCTTCCAGATGGTGCATTTCCCCCCTTCCAGATGGTGCATTTCCCCCCTTCCAGATGGTGCATTTCCCCCCTTCCAGATGGTGCATTTCCCCCCTTCCAGATGGTGCATTTCCCCCCTTCCAGATGGTGCATTTCCCCCCTTCCAGATGGTGCATTTCCCCCCTTCCAGATGGTGCATTTCCCCCCTTCCAGATGGTGCATTTCCCCCCTTCCAGATGGTGCATTTCCCCCCTTCCAGATGGTGCATTTCCCCCCTTCCAGATGGTGCATTTCCCCCCTTCCAGATGGTGCATTTCCCCCCTTCCAGATGGTGCATTTCCCCCCTTCCAGATGGTGCATTTCCCCCCTTCCAGATGGTGCATTTCCCCCCTTCCAGATGGTGCATTTCCCCCCTTCCAGATGGTGCATTTCCCCCCTTCCAGATGGTGCATTTCCCCCCTTCCAGATGGTGCATTTCCCCCCTTCCAGATGGTGCATTTCCCCCCTTCCAGATGGTGCATTTCCCCCCTTCCAGATGGTGCATTTCCCCCCTTCCAGATGGTGCATTTCCCCCCTTCCAGATGGTGCATTTCCCCCCTTCCAGATGGTGCATTTCCCCCCTTCCAGATGGTGCATTTCCCCCCTTCCAGATGGTGCATTTCCCCCCTTCCAGATGGTGCATTTCCCCCCCTTCCAGATGGTGCATTTCCCCCCTTCCAGATGGTGCATTTCCCCCCTTCCAGATGGTGCATTTCCCCCCTTCCAGATGGTGCATTTCCCCCCTTCCAGATGGTGCATTTCCCCCCTTCCAGATGGTGCATTTCCCCCCTTCCAGATGGTGCATTTCCCCCCTTCCAGATGGTGCATTTCCCCCCTTCCAGATGGTGCATTTCCCCCCTTCCAGATGGTGCATTTCCCCCCTTCCAGATGGTGCATTTCCCCCCTTCCAGATGGTGCATTTCCCCCCTTCCAGATGGTGCATTTCCCCCCTTCCAGATGGTGCATTTCCCCCCTTCCAGATGGTGCATTTCCCCCCTTCCAGATGGTGCATTTCCCCCCTTCCAGATGGTGCATTTCCCCCCTTCCAGATGGTGCATTTCCCCCCTTCCAGATGGTGCATTTCCCCCCTTCCAGATGGTGCATTTCCCCCCTTCCAGATGGTGCATTTCCCCCCTTCCAGATGGTGCATTTCCCCCCTTCCAGATGGTGCATTTCCCCCCTTCCAGATGGTGCATTTCCCCCCTTCCAGATGGTGCATTTCCCCCCTTCCAGATGGTGCATTTCCCCCCTTCCAGATGGTGCATTTCCCCCCTTCCAGATGGTGCATTTCCCCCCTTCCAGATGGTGCATTTCCCCCCTTCCAGATGGTGCATTTCCCCCCTTCCAGATGGTGCATTTCCCCCCTTCCAGATGGTGCATTTCCCCCCTTCCAGATGGTGCATTTCCCCCCTTCCAGATGGTGCATTTCCCCCCTTCCAGATGGTGCATTTCCCCCCTTCCAGATGGTGCATTTCCCCCCTTCCAGATGGTGCATTTCCCCCCTTCCAGATGGTGCATTTCCCCCCTTCCAGATGGTGCATTTCCCCCCTTCCAGATGGTGCATTTCCCCCCTTCCAGATGGTGCATTTCCCCCCTTCCAGATGGTGCATTTCCCCCCTTCCAGATGGTGCATTTCCCCCCTTCCAGATGGTGCATTTCCCCCCTTCCAGATGGTGCATTTCCCCCCTTCCAGATGGTGCATTTCCCCCCTTCCAGATGGTGCATTTCCCCCCTTCCAGATGGTGCATTTCCCCCCTTCCAGATGGTGCATTTCCCCCCTTCCAGATGGTGCATTTCCCCCCTTCCAGATGGTGCATTTCCCCCCTTCCAGATGGTGCATTTCCCCCCTTCCAGATGGTGCATTTCCCCCCTTCCAGATGGTGCATTTCCCCCCTTCCAGATGGTGCATTTCCCCCCTTCCAGATGGTGCATTTCCCCCCTTCCAGATGGTGCATTTCCCCCCTTCCAGATGGTGCATTTCCCCCCTTCCAGATGGTGCATTTCCCCCCTTCCAGATGGTGCATCCCAAGATGGATGGGGGCATGGGGGGACACGTGAGTCCGTCTTGCTTTCTCCTCAACCCTCCCTGCTCCCCCTGCCCGGACCCCCCACATCCCCCCTTCCTCCTGCGCAGATGATGCATCCCAAGATGGACGCAGGCATGGGGGGGGCCAAGGGGGGAGGCGGGGGGGAAATCGGGGGGGAAATCGGGGGGGAAGGAGGGGGCGCAGAGGGGGCGAGGGGGGAGGTGGAGAGTGTGGGGGAGGCGATGGAGCGAGGGCTGCTGCCGCTGCCTCTGCCAGTGCACCGCATTGTGGACCTCTGTGACGCGCTGCTGTGTGCTGAGGTATGGTGCTGTGCGGTGCTATGCGGTGCAGTGAGGTGAGGTGTGCTGCTGTGGTGCGGTGCTGGCTCCCTCTCCTCCTTCCCGCCCTCTGCCAGCGAGGGGGGAGGTGGAGAGTGTGGGGGAGGCGGTGGAGCGAGGGCTGCAGCCTCTGCCAGCGCACCGCATCGTGAACCTCTGTGATGCGCTGAGGAACGGTGCTGTGTGGTTCTGTGCGGTGAGGTGGGCTATGTGGTGTGGTGAGGTCGGTGAGGTGCGGTGAGGTGCGGTGAGGTGTGGTGTGGTGCGGTGTTGTTGTTCTTGTAGCCCCCTCCCGCTCCTGTCCTCTGTCGGCCCATGGCATCGTGGACCTTTGTAACGCACTGCTGTGTGCTGAGGTGTGCTGCTGTTTGCAATTGTCCTGCTGCCCTGCAAAACGCTGTGCTGCTGGTGCCCCCCCGTGCCGTCTCCTTCCCCACTTCCTTCTTCCAATCCCCGCCACTCCCACTGTGTGGCGGTTCAGCCCCTCTCGCCACTCCTACTGTGTGGCGTTTCAGTCCCTCTCGCCACTCCATGCGCCCCCTGTTCGCCCGCACTCCCCTCTGCCTTATCCCTCCCCCTCTCCCCCCCCTCCCAGGCCACGTGGCACAGCGGGCACAGCCTGCCCCAAACCGTATTCACCTGCGCCTACCTGCTGTTGCCGCCCCTTCAAGCCCTTTGTGCGCCACATTCCCCACTGCCTCATGCCTTCCTCTCTCGCCCCCTGTTGCTTCCTCTCCCCTCCATCCCCTCCCCACAGGCGACATGGCACAGCGGGCACAGCCTACCCCAAACCGTATTCACCTGCGCCTACCTGCTGTTGCCGCCCCTTCAAGCCCTTTGTGCGCCACATTCCCCACTGCCTCATGCCTTCCTCTCTCGCCCCCTGTTGCTTCCTCTCCCCTCCATCCCCTCCCCACAGGCGACATGGCACAGCGGGCACAGCCTACCCCAAACCGTATTCACCTGCGCCTACCTGCTGTTGCCGCCCCTTCAAGCCCTTTGTGCGCCACATTCCCCACTGCCTCATGCCTTCCTCTCTCGCCCCCTGTTGCTTCCTCTCCCCTCCATCCCATCCCCACAGGCGACATGGCACAGCGGGCACAGCCTGCCCCAAACCGTATTCACCTGCGCCTACCTGCTGTTGCCGCCCCTTCAAGCCCTTTGTGCGCCACATTCCCCACTGCCTCATGCCTTCCTCTCTCGCCCCCTGTTGCTTCCTCTCCCCTCCATCCCCTCCCCACAGGCGACATGGCACAGCGGGCACAGCCTGCCCCAAACCGTATTCACCTGCGCCTACCTGCTGTTGCCGCCCCTTCAAGCCCTTTGTGCGCCACATTCCCCACTGCCTCATGCCTTCCTCTCTCGCCCCCTGTTGCTTCCTCTCCCCTCCATCCCCTCCCCACAGGCGACATGGCACAGCGGGCACAGCCTACCCCAAACCGTATTCACCTGCGCCTACCTGCTGTTGCCGCCCCTTCAAGCCCTTTGTGCGCCACATTCCCCACTGCCTCATGCCTTCCTCTCTCGCCCCCTGTTGCTTCCTCTCCCCTCCATCCCCTCCCCACAGGCGACATGGCACAGCGGGCACAGCCTACCCCAAACCGTATTCACCTGCGCCTACCTGCTGTTGCCGCCCCTTCAAGCCCTTTGTGCGCCACATTCCCCACTGCCTCATGCCTTCCTCTCTCGCCCCCTGTTGCTTCCTCTCCCCTCCATCCCCTCCCCACAGGCGACATGGCACAGCGGGCACAGCCTGCCCCAAACCGTATTCACCTGCGCCTACCTGCTGTTGCCGCCCCTTCAAGCCCTTTGTGCGCCACATTCCCCACTGCCTCATGCCTTCCTCTCTCGCCCCCTGTTGCTTCCTCTCCCCTCCATCCCCTCCCCACAGGCGACATGGCACAGCGGGCACAGCCTACCCCAAACCGTATTCACCTGCGCCTACCTGCTGTTGCCGCCCCTTCAAGCCCTTTGTGCGCCACATTCCCTACTGCCTCATGCCTTCCTCTCTCGCCCCCTGTTGCTTCCTCTCCCCTCCATCCCCTCCCCACAGGCGACATGGCACAGCGGGCACAGCCTGCCCCAAACCGTATTCACCTGCGCCTACCTGCTGTTGCCGCCCCTTCAAGCCCTTTGTGCGCCACATTCCCCACTGCCTCATGCCTTCCTCTCTCGCCCCCTGTTGCTTCCTCTCCCCTCCATCCCCTCCCCACAGGCGACATGGCACAGCGGGCACAGCCTGCCCCAGACCGTATTCACCTGCGCCTACCTGCTGTTGCCGCCCCTTCAAGCCCTTTGTGCGCCACATTCCCCACTGCCTCATGCCTTCCTCTCTCGCCCCCTGTTGCTTCCTCTCCCCTCCATCCCCTCCCCACAGGCGACATGGCACAGCGGGCACAGCCTGCCCCAAACCGTATTCACCTGCGCCTACCTGCTGTTGCCGCCCCTTCAAGCCCTTTGTGCGCCACATTCCCCACTGCCTCATGCCTTCCTCTCTCGCCCCCTGTTGCTTCCTCTCCCCTCCATCCCCTCCCCACAGGCGACATGGCACAGCGGGCACAGCCTGCCCCAAACCGTATTCACCTGCGCCTACCTGCTGTTGCCGCCCCTTCAAGCCCTTTGTGCGCCACATTCCCCACTGCCTCATGCCTTCCTCTCTCGCCCCCTGTTGCTTCCTCTCCCCTCCATCCCCTCCCCACAGGCGACATGGCACAGCGGGCACAGCCTACCCCAAACCGTATTCACCTGCGCCTACCTGCTGTTGCCGCCCCTTCAAGCCCTTTGTGCGCCACATTCCCTACTGCCTCATGCCTTCCTCTCTCGCCCCCTGTTGCTTCCTCTCCCCTCCATCCCCTCCCCACAGGCGACATGGCACAGCGGGCACAGCCTACCCCAAACCGTATTCACCTGCGCCTACCTGCTGTTGCCGCCCCTTCAAGCCCTTTGTGCGCCACATTCCCCACTGCCTCATGCCTTCCTCTCTCGCCCCCTGTTGCTTCCTCTCCCCTCCATCCCCTCCCCACAGGCGACATGGCACAGCGGGCACAGCCTGCCCCAAACCGTATTCACCTGCGCCTACCTGCTGTTGCCGCCCCTTCAAGCCCTTTGTGCGCCACATTCCCCACTGCCTCATGCCTTCCTCTCTCGCCCCCTGTTGCTTCCTCTCCCCTCCATCCCCTCCCCACAGGCGACATGGCACAGCGGGCACAGCCTACCCCAAACCGTATTCACCTGCGCCTACCTGCTGTTGCCGCCCCTTCAAGCCCTTTGTGCGCCACATTCCCCACTGCCTCATGCCTTCCTCTCTCGCCCCCTGTTGCTTCCTCTCCCCTCCATCCCCTCCCCACAGGCGACATGGCACAGCGGGCACAGCCTGCCCCAGACCGTATTCACCTGCGCCTACCTGCTGCTGCCCCCGCTCGCCGCCCCTTCCGACTGCACGGCCTCCCCCTCCCCCTCCCCCTCCCCCTCCCCCCTCCCCCTCCCCCTCCCCCTCCCTCTCCTCGTCACCACTACTGCTGGCGCTGGTGTCAGCCACCCTCGCCTGTGTGAACAGCGTGCGATCTGCAGCCTGCTGGACGCACCAACGCGAGGTGAGAGGAGTGATTGCAGAGCATGATATCATATGCCATTTGGCCTCTCTTCTCATGGCCTCTCTTCTCATGGCCTCTCTTCTCCCTAAGTTTTGCGTCACTGGGACGGGACGTGATAATGCACTCTTATAATGCATGCAATATGTCGGCTCTCCATCCCTCTCGCCCTCCTCCTCCTCTGAAGCCCCCTTTTTCTCCCATTCTTAGTCTTTCCTCGCCCTCCTTTTACCCTCACCCTCCTTTTACCCTCGCCATCCTCTTCTTACCCTCCCAGTGGGGGGCCTGCCTCTGGAGGGACGAGCGTATTTTTCACCCCCACCTACTCCCCCTCCCCCAACCTCTTCCCTCCCCCATCCCTTCCCCCTCCTCTCACAGGAGGAGGACTTTGTGACGTCAGCAGGCGGCCTGCCTCTGGAGGGGCGAGTGGGGGAGGCAGCAGTGGCGCCGCTGAGAGCGCTGCTGGCGGGGATTGAAGGCAGTGGGGAAGGGGACGCTCGGAAGGGAAAAGGTGAGTGAGAGGAGAGGAGAGGTTACACACCTACCTGAAAGACCTCTGGAGGGGCGGGTGGGTGTGGCGGCAGTGGCGCCGCTGAGAGTGCTGCTGGCGGGGCTGGAGGGCAGTGGGGAGGGGACACGGGGAAAGGGGCAGGTGAGTAAGAGGAGAGGTCACACTCGCCCATCCAGAGGCAGTGGCTCCACTCAGAGCGCTGCTGGCGGGGCTGGAAGGACAAGGGGCAGGTGGGAATGGGGTGGGTGGGAGGGGGGCGTGCGCAGGGGAGGGGGAACAAGTGAGCGAGGCATAAGTGGCGCCGCTCAGGGCACTTCTGGCGGGGCTGGAGGGGCAAGGAGCAGGTGGGGGGGGGTAACAAAGAGGGGGGGGGGCAGGGGAGAGGGGACAGGTGTGAGAGGGGTAATGGGCGAATGGACGAGGCTGCAGTGGCGCCACTCAGAGCACTTCTGGCGGGGTTGGAGGGGCAAGGAGCAGGTATGAGGGGCGGACAGGTGCGGGGATCAGGAAGAGGGCGAAGGGGCGAGTGGGTAGGCGGCAGTGCTGGGGAGGCGAGGGGGCAGGGAAGGTGGGGGAGCGCCAAGGGGACGGGGCAGGTGGAGAGGGGTCAGGGGTGGGAGTGGGAATGGCCAGCGAGGGGGAGGCAGCAGCATTGCCGCGCAGGGCACTGCTGGTGGGGCTGGAAGGCAGTGGCGAATGGAGCAGGTGGGGACGAGGAGAGGTGTGGCAGGGGGGAGCTGTGTGGAGTGGGGGGGGTGGGAACTTCTGGTGTAGAGGAGTGTCACGCCGTCCCTCTTCCCCGCTACCTGTTGGCACGCCTGTCCCCTTCCCCGCTACCTGTTGGCACGCCTGTCCCCTTCCCCGCTACCTGTTGGCACGCCTGTCCCCTTCCCCGCTACCTGTTGGCACGCCTGTCCCCTTCCCCGCTACCTGTTGGCACGCCTGTCCCCTTCCCCGCTACCTGTTGGCACGCCTGTCCCCTTCCCCGCTACCTGTTGGCACGCCTGTCACCTTCCCCGCTACCTGTTGGCACGCCTGTCACCTTCCCCGCTACCTGTTGGCACGCCTGTCCCCTTCCCCGCTACCTGTTGGCACGCCTGTCACCTTCCCCGCTACCTGTTGGCACGCCTGTCACCTTCCCCGCTACCTGTTGGCACGCCTGTCCCCTTCCCCGCTACCTGTTGGCACGCGTGTCACCTTCCCCGCTACCTGTTGGCACGCCTGTCACCTTCCCCGCTACCTGTTGGCACGCCTGTCCCCTTCCCCGCTACCTGTTGGCACGCGTGTCACCTTCCCCGCTACCTGTTGCCTTTGCCTTTTTCACGATCATCAGCACTCGCATCTTCACTCCCATGCCATCCGCCTGCGTTTACCGCTCCACACACCCCACACACCCATGTGTAGTGAGGTGCATTTTGAGGCGCCTCAAAAGACATCCGCCTGCGTTTCCCGCTCCACACACCCCACACACCCATCACACATCCATGCCCACCAGGCAAGGAAGCAGAGACAGTGCATGCAGAGCAGCAGGGCAGAGCGACCCTGTGCTGTCTGGAGGTGACTTTTGAGTCGACTCAAAAGTTTCCCACTCCACACACCCCACACGCCCATCACACATCCATGTCCACCAGGCAAGGAAGCAGAGGCAGTGCGTGAAAAGCAGCAGCAGGGCGACTCTGGGCTGGGCCCTGCTCTATGTACTACCCTCATGCGCATGGCTTTGCAGGGAGTTTTTGAGAATTCTCAAAAGCTCTCTGGGCTGGACCCTGCTCTCCGTACTACCCTCATGCGCATGGCTTTGCAGGGAGTTTTTGAGAATTCTCAAAAGCTCTCTGGGCTGGACCCTGCTCTCCGTACTACCCTCATGCGCATGGCTTTGCAGGGAGTTTTTGAGAATTCTCAAAAGCTCTCTGGGCTGGACCCTGCTCTCCGTACTACCCTCATGCGCATGGCTTTGCAGGGAGTTTTTGAGAATTCTCAAAAGCTCTCTGGGCTGGACCCTGCTCTCCGTACTACCCTCATGCGCATGGCTTTGCAGGGAGTTTTTGAGAATTCTCAAAAGCTCTCTGGGCTGGACCCTGCTCTCCGTACTACCCTCATGCGCATGGCTTGCCTGCCTCTCGCCTGTTCCCTCATTCCACCATATGCCCATGCCCATGCCCATGCCCATGCCCACATGCACTACCAGGGAAGGCACCAGCATCAGGGCGCAAGGAGCAGCAGCAGGGCGACCCTGTGCTCTCTGGGCTGGACCCTGCTCTTCTCTCCGCGCTAACGGCCCGCATGCAATTCCGACTGGTACCTATTGCTCCCTCCTCCCTGCCATGCCCGGCTCTGCTCCGCTTCTTGTACTTGCAGGGTGTTTGCATGTTTCTATCAAAAGTCACTGAATTCCCAAAAAAACCCTCTCCTCACCGCCCTTGTGGCCAGCATGAGATTCCGGCTGGTATCTGGTATCTATCTACCGCCCTCTTCTCCCTCCCTGCCATGCTCTGCCCCGCTTCTCTCTGCTTCTGCTCTGCTCTGATCTGCTCTCATGCCGCCTACAAGCCTGCGGGTGTGTGTTTAGCGTGTGATTCACTAGCAGCATCACGTTGCTGGCGGGTTGTTCTGCACACGCCACCTGGAATGGAGAGACATGCCCCAGCACGTATGGAATGTGCACATGGGGGTGTGGTAGCGTTCATCGCATGGGGGTGTGGTAGCGTTCATCGCAAAAGTCAGTCAGCTTGTGGTTCCTCTTTTGCCATACAGAACCCTTGCAAGACCTCTTCCCCCTTGACACCCCTCCTTTCCACAACCACCTCCCCTCCCCCCCCTCTCTCCCCCCCTTCTTCTCCGCCCTCTCGCCCGCCAGGCTCTCTATAACGCGCTCTCATCCCAGCGCTTCAAACTGCCCACCTGCCCGCCCACCTGCCCGCCTGCGCGCTCAAGGTTACAGCTCGGCTCCCCTGCCCTGCACAAACTCTAGACCTCCCTGTCTACACACCCGTCTCCTCCTCCCACCCCTCCCCCCTACCTCTCCCCTTCCCGCCCCTTCTGCTCCTGCCCTCCTACCCCACCCATCCCTTTTCCAGGCTCTCTATGACGCGCTCTCAGCACTCCAAACGGCCCGCCTGCCCGCCCATCTGCCCGCCTGTGCGCTCAAGATTCAGCTCGCCCAGACCGCCCTGCACAAACTCAAGATCTCCTTGCCCCCGACTGCCCCCGCTGCTGGGGGAGAGGGAGGAGAAAGGGGAGAGGGGGAGCAGGCGGAGGGGGGGAGTGGGGGGCAGCAGACGGCGTCAGGAAGGGCGGCGCCGGGCATGTGTCCGGCCATCAACACCCATCTGCTGCCGCCCACGCCGCCCCGTCCCACGCACCTGCTGACGTGGCACGAGGTGAGTGAGACAGTTGCTGACGTGTCAGTGATGGGAGGGGTTACTGGGGTGGTTGCAAGCGAGGCAGTGCAAATGCACTTACTGAGGTCGTTGGTACCAACCAATGCACTCACAACCCATGCTTTCTGCGTCTCTTCACTTCACACCCAGGATCTCTGTAACAATCACTTACTTACGTTGACTGTTAGAAATCAACCCAAACTACCTGCTCCTCCTCCTCCTCTCGTATTCTCGCCTCCTTGCTCCCCTGCTGCTCCCAGTCCCCCCGTTCCGACCCTTCCCCTCCCCGTGCCCCCCTTTTACCCCGCCACTCCACCTCTTCCTGTGACACCTGCTCCTCCTCTACTCCATATCTGCTTCTGCTTCCCTCGCTCCTCCCCTCTCCCTACCCACCCTCACCGCCCCCCTCCCCCCCACTCCTTTACACCTGTTGGCTCATCTCGCCTTCATCTGCCACCTGCCATCCACCTCACCTCCTTTCCCCTCCACCCTCCTTCCTCGACCCCCCTTCCTCTCCCTCAGGCATTGGACCATTTCTCTCATCTGCTAACCCACCTTGCCGTCACCTGCCATCCACCTCACAGCCCAACCTGCTGGCACTCTTGAGCTTCCTCCCCTCCTCTTCTGGTGCCGTTTCCCTCTCCCTACCCTCCCCGCCGCTCTTTCCCGCACCCCCTTCCCAGGCATTGGATCATTTCTTTCGCCTGCTAACCCATCTCGCCTTCATCTGCCACCTGCCATCCACCTCGCCTCTCCAACCTGCTGGAGTTCTCTCGCCTCCTCGCCCACTTCCGCGCCGTCCCATCCCCCTCGCTGCCCTCCCATCCCCCTCGCTGCCCTTTGCAACCTCCCTTCCCCCCCCATCAATCCCAGGCATTGGACCACTTCTCTCGTCTATTGACCCACCTCACTTTCATCTGCCATCTGCCATCCACCTCACCGCCCGATCTGCTGGAGCTCTCGCGCTTCCTCGCCCACTTCCGCGCCCTCAACCCCGGCCCCGTCGCCCGCGCTGCCCTGCAGGTGTGTAGGTGCGTTTGCTGCAGGTGCGTTTGCTGCAGGTGCGTTTGCTGCAGGTGCGTTTGCTGCAGGTGCATTTGCTGCAGGTGCGTTTGCTGCAGGTGCGATGGCTGCAGGTGCGTTTGCTGCAGGTGCGATGGCTGCACGTGTGCAGTGCAGGTGGGTGTGTGTGCTCTGTATGGGGCGGTGGTGTGTCCCGATCTGCTGGAGCTCTCGCGCTTCCTAGCCCACTTCCGCGCCCTCAACCCCGGCCCTGTTGCCCGCGCTGCCCTGCAGGTGGGTTGGATGCATGCAGGTGTGCGGGTGTGCTGGCTAGGTGTGCTCTGTATGCGGGCATTGTAACTCGCTCACTTCCGCGCCCTCAACCCCGGCCCCGTCGCCCGTGCTGCGCTGCAGGTGTGTTTGCTGCAGGTGTGCAGATGTGTGTGTGCTGACACTGCAGGTGACGTCCTGCCTAGGTGTGTCTTGTATGGTATGGAGCGGTGTTCCTCGCCCACTTCCGCGCCCTCAACCCCGCCGGCCCCGTCGCTCGCACGCACTGCAGGTAGGTTTCATGGCTGGTGGCACTGGTGGTTCTGCCGGTGCTGGCGCTACAAATGTGCAGTCGTGCTGCAGGTGCGTTGGCTGTATGTGTATGCTGTGCTCTGTATGGGGCAGTGTAACTCGCCCACTTCCGCGCCCTCAACCCGGGCCCTGTCGCCCGCGCGGCACTGCAGGTGTGTGTGTGGTGGCTGCATGTGTGTATGTGCAGGTGTGTGTGTGGTGGCTGCATGTGTGTATGTGCAGGTGTGTGTGTGGTGGCTGCATGTGTGTATGTGCAGGTATTTGTGGTTGGATGTGTACAGTGCAGGTGGGTGTGTGTGCTCTGTGTGTGGCAGTGTGTCTTGCCCACTTCCGCGCCCTCAACCCCGGCCCCGTCGCCCGTGCTGCACTGCAGATATGAGTGTGTGATGGCTGCATGCGTGCAGTGCAGGTGCGTGTGTGTCCTCTGTACGGTGCGCTGCGTTCCTTCTGGCGCCAGTCCCCTTTCTACCTCCTCCACCTCTCGTCCGCCCCTCTCCCCTCTTCTTCCCCCATCATCTGCTGCTACTCCAAGACGGTCTCATTCTCGGCCACGACCTGACATACGTTCTCCTGCACCCGCTGCACCTTCCGACTCTCCTCTCCCTTTCAATGGCGTCCCCTCCCCTCCTGTTCCCTTGCCTCCCTTCCCCTTCCACTCCCCCCATCAGCTGCTGCTGCTCCGGGATGGTCTCATTCTCGGCCACGACCCCACAGCCATCCTAAAGCACTCGCTGCACCTTGCGCCTTTCCTCCCGTCCCCTCCCCCTCCCCACCATTCCCCCCTCCCACCCCTCCACTCCCCTCTCCCCCCACCAGCTGCTGCTGCTGCGAGGTGGTCTAATTCTCGGCCACAACCCCACACATGTCGTCATGCACTCGCTGCACCATATGTCTCCATCTCCCCTCCCCTCCCTTCCTCTCCCCTGCCCCACCTTCCCCCCACCAGCTGCTGCTACTCCGAGAAGGTCTCATTCTCAGCCACGACCCCACAGACGTCATCCTGCATTCGTTGCACCTGCCGCCTGCCCTGCTGCCCCCGCCTGGAGCTGCTGCAGGTGGTGCTGGCGGTGGTGGGGGTGTTGGTGGTGGGGATGGAGGCAGCAGTGCGGCTTTAGGGAAATTTGTCAAGAAGGCGTCGCATGTAAGTGGGACGGGGGGATGTGAGGGCGGAGTCGGAGAACGGGCGGGCGGAGAGAGGGAAGGCATGAGCGGAAAGGGAATGTAGGGTGCCCGTGCTGGTTGGAGTTGAAGGTAGGCGTGCTGTGCTGCTCAACTGCTGCACTGCTGTTTAGGATGGCAGTCACATTTGGGCTTCTGCCTTTATCATTTGCTGTACTGTACGTACTCACCTCATTTTTGTTTCCTTGCCGCCAATCTTCACCCTCCTCCCCTCCCCTCCTCCCTGTGCCGCCAGGCTCCAATCCCCTGCCCTCTCATCCCATCTGCCTTCCTGTTGACTTTTGAGTCGACTCAAAAGTCAACTCCAATCCCCTGCCCTCTCATCCCATCTGCCTTCCTGCCATCCCTGTGTCTCTCTCAACCAGGCAGTGCTGATGGCGCAGTGCAGCAACAGGGCGAGAGAGAGAGAGGCGCATGCTGGCCAAGTCTTCACCTCGTCCTCACCTGCCTTTGAGTCGACTCAAAACAAGTCTTCACCTCGTCCTCACCTGCCTTTGAGTCGACTCAAAACAAGTCTTCACCTCGTCCTCACCTGCCTCCCGTCTCACTTGCCTCCCATCCCATGTTGCACGCAAAGCAGGCAGTGCAGGCGGTGCTGAGGGCGCAGTGCAGCAACAGGGCGAGGGAGAGGCGCATGCTGGCCAGATCTTCGTCTTATCCCCACGCTCCCCTCGTCCCCTCCTGTCTCCCATTTTGCCTCCCATCCCTCTCTCTCTCTCAACCAGGCGGTACAGGCGGTGCTGAGGGCGCAGTGCAGCAACGGGGCGAGGGAGAGGCGAATGCTGGCCAAGCTGCTGCCCGACTGGAGCCATCTCCTGTCTCTCGTGCGCCATTCCCGCCTTCCCCCTGCCTCTTGCTCCCCCTGCCCGCTCATTTCCCTGCCCATCTGCCTCCTTCTGACTGGAACCATCTTCTCTCGTTCGTACGTCCCCCCTACTTCCCCCCTGCCTGCTGCTGCTCCTCCTTCTGCCTGTCGCTTTTCTCTCTCCCCTTCTGCCTGTCGCTTTTCTCTCTCCCCTTCTGCCTGTCGCTTTTCTCTCTCCCCTTCTGCCTGTCGCTTTTCTCTCTCCCCTTCTGCCTGTCGCTTTTCTCTCTCCCCTTCTGCCTGTCGCTTTTCTCTCTCCCCTTCTGCCTGTCGCTTTTCTCTCTCCCCTTCTGCCTGTCGCTTTTCTCTCTCCCCTTCTGCCTGTCGCTTTTCTCTCTCCCCTTCTGCCTGTCGCTTTTCTCTCTCCCCTTCTGCCTGTCGCTTTTCTCTCTCCCCTTCTGCCTGTCGCTTTTCTCTCTCCCCTTCTGCCTGTCGCTTTTCTCTCTCCCCTTCTGCCTGTCGCTTTTCTCTCTCCCCTTCTGCCTGTCGCTTTTCTCTCTCCCCTTCTGCCTGTCGCTTTTCTCTCTCCCCTTCTGCCTGTCGCTTTTCTCTCTCCCCTATGTCGTCTCTCTGATGCCATGTGCTGTATCTCACCCCGCTGTGTCTTGCGGTGGTGCAGAAATTCGTGTGTGTTTTAACGTGATTCCCCTCAACACCTTTCCTGCCCGTCGCCCCTTTTAGGCTGGCGACGTGGACGCATGTGATGCCGTCGAGCGCTACACCACCACCAATTTCGCTCAGGTGATTCCCCAGGTGCTTTTGCAGGTGATTGTGCAGGCAATTTTCCAGGTGATTTCTTAGGTGGTGTGGCTGTTGATGTCTTGAGTATGTGTGCAGGCAGGTAGATTCCGAGTATGTTGAAATCTCATGTGATGCGTGGCCCTTGGCCCTTGGGTGGCACACACCGTTCACGAGCAGCATCTCATGTTGCTCGGCCATCAATTCATGCAAGGCGGGGCATGTGCGTGACGGACGGGGAAATGCAGTAACTTCGTACCAACCCTCTACTTCCCTTCTCTGTGCACTCTTCTCCCCCTCCCCTCTTCCCGCCTTCCACCCAACTCCCCTTAACTCAACGCTGAGCTCCAAGCAGGGGTGGTGGAGGGAGAGTGGCCACCAGCTGGGTGGTGAAGGGCGGTTCGAAAGACACTTCCCTTTTCTTCTCCTCCCTGTGCGCTCCCTCCCTTCCGCTCCCCACCTCTTGACAGCAGGGGTGGTGGAGGGAGAGTGTGTCGACCAGCTGGGTGGAGGAGTACACGTGTTGGGGCTGTGTATGGTATGGTACACACACACACCATTCATCCCTTTCCTTCCCCTCCCCGTGCGCACCCTTCCTCCCTTCCTCCCTCCCTCTCAACACCGCGCTGCCATCAGGGGTGGTGGAGGGAGAGTGTGGCAACGAGCTGGGTGGTGGAGTACACATGTCGCATCGTCATTCGCTATCTGCAGCTTGGCTTCTCCACGCGCCTCTACGCGCCCTCTGAGTTCCTTTCCGCCTTCTGGTCAGTCCTGCCTGCCCCATCACACCATGCCATGCCCCATGTCATGCCACAACACGGCTGCCACACGCCGTGCCTCCCACATCCCTTGGCTTCTCCACTCGCCTCTATGCGCCCTCCGAGTTCCTCTCTGCCTTCTGGTCCATCCATCATAACATGCCACACCACGCCACACCTTGCCACACCACGTCACACCATGCCACACCATGCCTCCCACCCACACACCATGCCTCCCACCCACATGCCATGCCTCCCACCCACATGCTATGCCTCTCACACGCCCCTTGGTTTCTCCATGCGTCTCTATGCGCCCTCTGAGTTCCTCTCTGCCTTCTGGCCTGTCCTACACGTTCACAGAACAGCTTCACACGGCACACAGCACACAGCACACGGCACACCGCACACGGCACACGGCACACAGCACACGGCACACAGCACAGCACACGGCACACCGTACACGGCACACGGCACACAGCACAACGCACAGCACACAGCACACAGCACACGGCACACGGCACACGGCACACGGCACACAGCACACAGCACACAGCACACAGCACAGCACACAGCACACGGCACACGGCACACGGCACACAGCACACAGCACACAGCACACAGCACAGCACACAGCACACGGCACACGGCACACGGCACACGGCACACAGCACACAGCACAGCACACAGCACACGGCACACGGCACACGGCACACGGCACACAGCACACAGCACACAGCACAGCACACAGCACACGGCACACGGCACACGGCACACGGCACACAGCACACAGCACACGGCACACGGCACACGGCACACGGCACACAGCACACAGCACACAGCACACAGCACAGCACACAGCACACGGCACACGGCACACGGCACACGGCACACAGCACACAGCACACAGCACACAGCACAGCACACAGCACACGGCACACGGCACACGGCACACAGCACACAGCACACAGCACAGCACACAGCACACGGCACACGGCACACGGCACACGGCACACGGCACACAGCACACAGCACACAGCACGAGTAATCCTATTAACGCTTGCACATACATACCCCGTCGCCATGCATGCACGAGCAGGTATCTCGACAGTGTGCTGGCCACACTCATCCACAACGTTTCTGCCCGAGAAGCGTCCTTGCAAAAACCTTTCACAGGTGGGCCTCTGCCATGCTTCGTCTCTCGTATGTGCCACACTCCTAGAAAAACACTTCTACTGCCGGTTACAAATGGGAACCCAAGCTTCGTTCAGGTGTACAACTGCCGACTAGGGTTGGGCCTACTTTGGGGCTGAGATGCAACGCTGGACAGGTTCTTTCAATTCTCAAAGGTTGAGTTGGCTAATCAGTTTTGAGGCGCCTCAAAACTAGATGCAACGTTTTACAGATTGCTTCAGTCCTCAAAAGTTGGAATGTCTGATTATGGGCATCCGAATATGGTTGGTTCTTGTTTTGAGACTCATGTCTCAAAACACTCCTTCTTTCAAATGTCTGATTATGGGCATCCGAATATGGTTGGTTGGTTCTTGAGAGCATTCTAGGAAACCTGTGAGGCGCCTCATAAGGTGATTATGGTCACCCAAACGGATTTGGTTCTTAAGAGTATTCATGAATCCCAAATTTACCGTTGGGCTATTGGAACCCCAATGGTGGTGGGTGGTGGTGCTTAGGGGGGGGGAGGGAATACGATTCTGCCAAGCTCTCAACCGATTTTCCTCTCCTTTTTCTCCCCAATGTACACCCATTCGCTCCCAGTTTTCAGACGCTAGAGTGTTATGTTTTTTAGGCGCCTCAAATAATCTCTCGTAGTATTTATGGACACTAGAGTGGTTCACTATTCATCCATCCTGCATGGCATTCTCACAAACCCTTCCCTGCTTGCGAACCCCCCATCCCATCTGACCCCTCTCCATCCCCTTGCCCCTTCAACCCCACGGCAGCCCCTTCCATTGAGGTCGTTTCTGAGGCGCCTCAAAAACGAACCCTCTCCATCCCCTTGCCCCTTCAACCCCACGGCAGCCCCTTCCATTGAGGTCGTTTCTGAGGCGCCTCAAAAACGACCCCTCTCCATCCCCTTGCCCCTCCAACCCCACTGCAGCCCCTTCCTCCCGCAAGGCTCGGCGCAAGCCAGC